GGCTGACACCGTGCCATCGTCGATAGACCCACTGTTGTCCTGCACCTCTTGCAAGCCGATGATGTCTGGTGCTTGTAGGCTATATGCAATGACACGGCCAAGCTTCGTTAACTGGGACCTATCAGAGGGGTCGAGGTTCAACACGTGGACGGTTGCCACCTGAATGAGTGGTAAGCACATCAGAAAGTCGATCTCCGTATGCATCGACATTCAGTACATGTCTCCATTTAACTCACCGTCAGAGCATCAGCCATCCCTCTGAGGGTCGTCGTTATTTTTGGCTGGAAAGTGGACGGGGTGACAACGGAAGGAGTCTCGGCAGGCAAGACCTCATAGTTGCCGTAGTCATACGACAGTACACCAATCATGTCGCCAAGCTTGTCACCTAAGAGAGAGGCAAACACACCATGAAAGGGAGACACGATCAACGTGTGTCGCCCTCTCTTCATTCGAGCCCCCCCTCAAGCAAGAGTATCGGGTCTGCTTACCCATTTTCGCGTCCGGAAAATACGACCCACCGAGTCTGGAGATGTCATCGTCAATCTGTATACGCTCGGGGTTGAAGTCGCCATCGCTGATAGTGATGCCACCGATCGAGTTGATGAAGGTAGCCTCTCGGCCACCGTCAACAACTCCCCAAATCTCTCCGTAGCGGGTTTTGGGACCCACGACCTGAAAGTCCTTGAGCTCGACACGCATACCTGAATGACAGAGGGAAGGGAAGAGGAAAGGAAGAAAGAGCCATTGTTGTCTATGAACTCTGGACAAACATGTAGTATGAGTACATGCACGTACACATTCATTTGTGAGTATATGGATGTACACATACATGCATACATACGCGTTTACGTCCGACACTATCCCAGCGCTCCCGCCCACCATTCCTGCATACCTTCGAGCTTCTCGTAGAAGTCGATGCGTCTGGGTTAATCTTGTCGGTCGGAGGTCTGCCCATGACCACAGGCTTCGGGAGATCATTCCCCATGCTGATCACCTCAGGCTGGCCGGCAGGGAGCAGCTGCATCCGAGACAAATCCCCCGAGCTCCTCACGTACTCTTGGGCCCTCGCACGCAGACGGACTTCGTCGCCCACCTCCAGCCCCTTGGGGAACCCATCGAGGAAGACAAAGATGCCGTCTGATGTCTCACTCCTGCCGTCTCCCTCCGAGTCTTGCATGTAGAACCCATCGCGAGCCAGCGACGTGACGATTCCCGTCGTCTCGACAGGCATCCCTTCCAGCGTAGACTTCCGGCCAGACCCCTGGATATCATAGATCTTCTTCTCCAAAGATGACGACCTCTCCGAAAGATTGGCCCACATTGGACTCTTCCGGGGCTCTCATCAGCTGGCACTGCCCACATGAAGTCACTGGCCTCTCGTCCGATGCCGATCAGCTGGAGAGACTGACCGACAGACGTCGTACCAGACTCTGAAACTCTGATGGCGGTGCTTGTCATGCCTTCAGCAGGTCCGTCCAGTGCCTCGAAGCTGCGTCCTTCATAACTCACAAACTGCTCCACATCTCCGTGAGAATTGACGAGCGCCAGACCGTCCGGTCCATTTTGAAGGCCAACCCCCTTGAACGCACGCACGCCAAAGCCGTTCAATTGGTCGGGAAGGACTTCGCTGAGCTCAATAGAACCGTAGACCTGCCCATCGCGTCCGTTGTACAGCTTCACTGTCCAGCCAGCGAGATTGGTGCCAGCAAGGCCAGCGATCTCGACAAATTCACCCACGTCGACGCCTTTATTGTCGTAGTGCACCTCATTGATGAAGACGGACTGTCCGGCACAGGGCGGGACGCTAGACACGAGCACAACAGCGACGGCGAGGGCGAGATTGAGCATCATAGCTGTGGTGATGGCAGATGACGGGCTGCGCCAATACACAGCAAGATGTAAGCAGGTGAGCGCCTCCGTCTGGCTGGAGCTGGCTCACCAAAAGCA